CCACACCTTTTTTCTCTTTTCCAAAGTTCTTTTCTCTTTTCAAAATTCTTTTTGTAAAAATACTTTTCTTTTGAAAATTTTCATACCAAGTCCTCAGTTTGAGTTCAAACACACCTGAGAGTGGGCCCGAATCCCTCAAACCAAGGCTCTGATACCAACTTGTAACATCCCAAAAATACAGACCAAAAATTTCATTTTTAATTATTAATAAAACCATATTTATCCAAAACACATGTTATAATATCTCAAACATCATATCAATGTATATCACAACAGGCTGAACAAATGGTGTGTGCATTGCAATCATCCCGAGCCCTTCCCCTTGCTACCGGAACTACCTGAAACCAAAAATGAAAACTGTAAGCACGAAGCTTAGTGATTCTCCCCAAACTACCACATACCATACACATAACACGCAACTAGGAGATTCGGGCCCCGCCCACACTCCGCTGTCTAGGAGATTCGGGCCCCGCCCACACTCCGTTGTCTAGGAGATTCGGGCCCCACCCACACTCCGCTGTCTAGGAGATTCGGGCCCCACCCACACTCAGTTGTATAGGAGATTCGGGCCCCGCCCACACTCCGCTGTCTAGGAGATTCGGGCCCCGCCACACTCCACTGTCTAACATGCATACAAGTATCACACAGACAACAAGTATATCTAATTCTATCAATCAGGCACATATCTATACTCAAAGTAATACTACGAGATTCGGGCCCCGCCCACACTCAACTACTATGAGATTCGGGCCCCGCCCACACTCATCTACTAACATATCATACTACGGGCCGGCCTTGGTGTCATAGACCCGTTCCTACTGAAGGAAACTCACCTCGCAAAGCTGACTGCTGAAATCTCGAGTGAGGAATCTCCGACGGCTGCTCCCACGACTCCCCGACTATTAATATTACAATAACACTTAGTCAAAACCCGATAATTCTCCTTAGGGTAAAATGACCATTTTATCCCTGGTCAAAGTCAACGCTTCGGTCAAAGTCAACCTTTTGGTTGACCCAACTCGTCGAGTTGCTCCATCAACTCGTCGAGTCCTAGAACCTGAAATCGCGATCTTACTGAATCAACTCGTCGAGTCCCTTCAACGACTTGTTGAGTTCTACCTTTAGCTAAAAACGGGGCAAACCAACTCAACTTGTTGAGTCCCTCTATGGACTCGCCGAGTTCCTTTACCTGATTGATCCATCTCAAGGGATTAAGCTCCTACCCTTCAGATCCAAGCTCCAAACTTCATCTACACACTGGGAATACACTTTTAAGGGTAAGGTTTCCAACTTTACCCGCTCTTAGTCCTTCTTAATGGGTTTAGCTCAATCCCTAACTCTCTAGAACATAGATCTTGGTCCACAAGCCATAATACCCTAAACCAAAGCACACTATTCTAGATCTAGGCTTTGAACATCAGTTGGACACGTAAAGTTCCTAGCTTTCCTTCCAAGCATGACCTCTTAGGGCTAAAAAGGCCATTTTAATGCTTATAAGCTTGCATGGGGCTTCCATGGCCATAAAGTTTGCACCTCTATGCCATGAAACCCCTCCTAGATCCCAGATCTGAAATATAAGTCACTTGGGACGTCCAAATCCCAAAGGCCAAAGTTCTTGCACCAAAACCCTCATAAAATGGAAGTAATTAGATCTAAGAAATGAATGATCAAGTTAGAGACTTGATTACTAGAAAGTGATGAGGATGGAAGGACATCCCTGGATCTACTATCTTCTCCTTGAACCTTCTAGCTCCTTCTCCTTCTTCTAGCTTCAAGAACACACCAAAACACTCAAGAATGGCTCACCACTCACAAGATACTCTATGGTATCGTGTATTAGAGTTTAGGACTTGGAGGCTGGAAATGAGGCCAAAAGGTGGGGATTAAGATGCTTAAATAGGATGCAAAACCCCAGAATTAGGGTTTCACTCTGACATGCCTACTCGCCGAGTCGAGGGCTCTTGACTCGTCGAGTAGGTGGCTGAAATCCCGCGTCCAAAAACTCAATTCTACTCGACGAGTCTGGGGATTCCAACTCGTCGAGTAGCTTTATAAAAATGAATAATTTGAAAATAAATGCGTACCAGAGACCGAGCGTTACAGTTACTTTCACCCATCTATTTTCTAAATTTTCGTGTTTAACCCCGTATTATATATAATTTGATTTTTATTAATAACTTTCGTTCGTTAACCTAAAAAACTATTTTTACGTGTTTATTTTTATATATTTGTCGTTATAATTCAAGATGATCAACGTTTCAACTTTAATTTAAAACTTTCTTTTGTTAATTTTTTTTTTAAAAATTACATGGTTTTTTTTTATAAAATTGTCGGTTTAAATTTGAGTTTGTTTCGACATAGTTTTTTATTTATCTATTTATTTATTTTTACGTTTTTGTGTTTAATTTTATGTATGTTTCTTACGTATAGACGCGTCACATATAATAATTTTCGTTTGTTAATTTAAAAAAAAACGTATTATATTAAGTTTGTATACGTTTCGACATAATTTTTTTTTGTTTTGTTTTGTTTTTTTGTTTTGTTTTTTGTTTTTTGTTTTTTTTTTTACATTTTTTGTGCTTAATTTTATGTACATTCCTATGCATCATTTGCGTCACATATAATAATTTTCGTTCGTTAACTTAAAACAATGTATTATCATCGAGCTTGTCTATGTTTCGCCAAGCGTATTTTTTTAACGTGTTCGTGCTTAATTTTATGTATATTTCATACGTATGACTTTGGTCATATATAATACGTTTTTTATTATTTAAGCTTTCGTTTGTTAACTAAAAAAAATCTTATTTATTTTTATGTACACGTAGATATAAATTTGAGTTTTTTTTTTTAATGTTTCGATGTAATTTTTTTTGTACATTTTGGTGCTTATTTTATGTATATTCCTACATAGGGTTTGTTCACATATAATAGATAAAAGCGTAATTATAAACATTGAATTTTGTAAGTTGAATTTTGATGATTGTATTGATAAAAATTACGTTTCGACATAAATAAAACACGAACGAAAAAAATATGTACAGAAAAATAAGCACCAAATATAAAAAAATTATGTCGAATGTAGATGAACTCGAATTTATACTGATACGTAAAAAAAGTTATGTCGAAGCGTAGACAAACTTAGATATAATACATTTTTAAGCTAACGAATGAAGTTATTATATGTGACCCGAAAATACATTGGAATGTATATAAAACTAAGCATAAAAACGTATAAAAAAGCGTCGAAACGTAGACAAACTCAAATATAATACGTTTTTTAAAATTAATAAGCGAAAGTTATTATATATGATCCGTCTACGTTTATATAAAGTTACGCAGAAACTTAGACAAACTCGAATTTAAACTGACAATTTTATAAAAAAAAACATTTAAATTTAAAAAAAAAAATAAAAATAAAAGTTCTAAATTAAAGTCGAAATGTTGACCATCTTGAATTATACCGACAAATATATAAAAATAAACACGTAAAAATAGTTTTTTTTAGATAAACGAACGGAAATTATTAATAAAAATCAAATTATATATAATACGAGATTAAACACGAAAATTTAAAAAAATAAAGAAGTGAAAGTAACATTTTTCAAAGTTCAAAAGAAAAAGGTTCAAAGTGATATTTTTTTAAAAAAAATGGTAGAAAAGCCACAAACTCATAAACATAAAGTATAGAAAAATTTACATAAATGGTCCCTATGGTTACCCATACTCACAAAACTCAGTGCATGCTATTTGAAAAAACCAAAACTCTTACACTAACAGATTGGAAACCATAAGGACCATGTTTGTCAAAAAAAAATTAACAGGGACTGAAATTGTAACCTTTAATAAACCATAGGGACCATTTTTATAGTTTTGTCCAAAAATCATTTCATCGGAAAAATGAAGGGCAAATATGTAAATCACGCAAATTATTTGACTATTATTGTATCGGGTTTCCGTGAGGGAGTAGGTATGGCCAACGAGTGGATTTAAACCATGTATCTATATCACTATACAATACCTACCTACGTAAGCAATGAAGTCAACTAAAATTTCACCTAAAAACGCCATTAATCCGCTTATAGATTCTTTTCTGTTTTGCCTTTCAATTTTCATCGGCTCAACGTCGACCACAAAATCTACCTTCCGCTACGTAACCCTTTTGTGAATATATATTTGAAACACCATTAAATACACCCGCCGCTGCATCGCCTCCCTCCCACACCAAGAAAAAGGTGAGAAAGATGTTACCACCATCTATGCATCATGTACAACTCGTATTTCCATCCATTGTATCAGCGTCTGTAGTCTCCGGTCACCAGAAGCTGGTTGCTGGGTCATCTCTTTACAAAAGTCTACGATCTTTTTGAGTTTTCATTTTCTTTTATGAAATCATTGATTTAAGTTCATTGGGACGTGGGTTAAAATCTTTGACTCTTTAAAAAAATTCTTCTCCACCAACAAAATCTGTACCTTTTCACAGTCTTCATAGTTCTTTTTCTATCTTCTGGGTATTTGATAATTGCATCATATGCAACAAGATTTCAAACAGTATGTTGGTGTATTTTAATGAATGGGATATTAATTTATCTTTCTTTTCAAATTTTAACGAGGAACACATACATCGAATTCATCATCCCTAGCTCAGATGTCTAACATATTAATATTATCTTCTGCTTATCAGATTTTTCACGTGTTGCAAACATCAGTTTTGATCTTAATATGATTTCATGAACCTAAGAAATTTGTCTCATCTTTTGTACTGTACATACTTGGATTACTGGTCATATTGTGGTGGGACTCTTCTTTTGTCTGGTTTAACACATTTTATTATTATTATTATTATTATTTTTTTACAGGATGCAAATGGGTGGAAGCGTAGAATAAAAATCGTAAGTTCTCCACGGGTTGGCGCTGAATCTTTGGTGGGTTCGAGCGGAAATCAATTTTGATTTATTAGTAGAGATGGTTTCTGGTGCTTCATATTGGATGACTTCTCTTTCATGTTCTTCAAGCTCTGTTGTGGCGGAGGACGCCTCAGGAATTTCATTCGTACTCCAATGGCTGAGGTTCATCTTCCTCACTCCCTGCCCTCAAAGGGCGCTTTTATCCTCCATTGATGTCCTGTTCTTGCTTATCCTCTTCGTTTTTGCTATTCAAAAGCTGTATTCAAGATTCACCTCCGCCAGCAATGGCCATTCCACCAACGAAGAACCTCTTATTCCTAAAAGTAGAGTACTTGTGAATACCAATGTTTGGTTTAAGATATCTCTGCTCGTGACATCCATTTTAGTGGTTCTATCTATTGTTTCGTCTATTTTGGCATTCACACGAAATCCCCAGGTGCCATGGAAGCTAGTAGATGGAATCTGTTGGGTAATCCAAGCTGTAACTTTCCTTGTAATCACAGTGTTGATCATCCACGAGAAGAGATTTCAAGCCTCAACGCATCCGCTCTCCCTCCGTGTTTTCTGGGTTGTAAATTTCATCATCATTACTTTAATGGCTGCTTCTGGTATCGCCCGTCTAGTTTCTGGCACCAGAAACACTACACCTTTGAAATCCGACGACATAGTTTCATTGATATCTCTACCATTTTCGGTTTTCCTCTTAATTCTTTCCATAACTGGCTCAACCGGAATCATAGTGAAAAAAGAATCAGAATCACTGAACGGAAATGGCAATGGCAATGGTAAAGTATCAGAGGGTGATGAGTTGAGCAAGTCGATAAAAGTGAGTGGATGGGCATCCGCTTCAATCCCATCAAAAATCTTTTGGCTGTGGATGAACCCATTGTTGCAGAAAGGGTACAAGAGCCCCCTAAAACTGGAGGACATCCCAACACTTTCACCCGAACACCGGGCAGAGAAAATGGCCAAGCTCTTTGAACAGAATTGGCCTAAGCCTCACGAAAATTCAAAACATCCTGTTCGAGTCACATTGCTTCGTTGTTTCTGGAAACATGTTGCCTTCACTGCGTTTCTTGCCATTATAAGGCTCTGTGTTATGTATGTCGGACCTCTGTTGATCCAAAGATTCGTGGATTTCACCTCAGGGAAGAGCACCTCCCCATACGAGGGGTACTATTTGATACTAATCCTTCTTGTTGCGAAATTCATTGAAGTTTTGTCATCCCACCAGTTCAATTTCAATTCTCAGAAGCTGGGCATGTTAATCCGGTCCACCCTTATAACTTCCCTTTACAAAAAGGGGTTACGGCTCTCTTGCTCGGCTCGACAGTCTCATGGTGTTGGACAGATTGTGAACTACATGGCAGTAGATGCTCAACAGCTGTCAGATATGATGCTTCAGTTGCATGCTATCTGGCTTATGCCACTCCAAGTGTCGGTGGCATTAGCCATTCTTTACTCGTACCTTGGTACACCCTCCTTGGTAGCTTTGGTCGGCCTGGTGGCAGTTATCATTTACGTGGTTTTGGGAACCAAAAGGAATAACAGGTTTCAGTTCAATATAATGCAAAACCGTGACTCGAGGATGAAAGCCACCAACGAGATGCTTAACTACATGAGGGTGATCAAGTTCCAAGCATGGGAGGAACATTTCAACAAGAGGATTCAGGCCTTTCGTGAGTCTGAATACGGGTGGCTTACCAAATTCATGATCTCCATTGGTGGAAACATGATCGTTTTGTGGAGCTCCCCTTTGTTTATCTCTTCGCTCACCTTTGGGACTGCAATTTTGCTTGGGATCCCACTTGATGCAGGGACAGTTTTCACTGCCACATCGCTGTTCAAGAACTTGCAGGAGCCGATTCGAACTTTCCCTCAGTCAATGATCTCCCTCTCTCAGGCCATGATCTCGTTGGGGAGATTGGATGGATTCATGTTGAGTAAGGAGTTGGATGAGGGGGCGGTGGAGAGACAGGAGGGTTGCAGTGGCCCGACAGCAGTTGAGGTTGAAGATGGGTCTTTTAGCTGGGACGATGAAGCTGCTGAAGGAGGCGTAGTCAAGAATTTGAACTTTAACATCAAGAAAGGTGAACTTGCAGCAATTGTTGGGACTGTAGGTTCTGGGAAGTCATCTCTTCTTTCATCCGTTATTGGCGAAATGCACAAAATCTCCGGGAAGGTAATTAAACCAATAATCTTTATCTTTAGGACGTGATTATGATCCCAGAAAAACACTAGTGAAATACTAGTTAATAAACTTTGTTGTTGATATATGAAACAGGTGAGGGTGTGTGGAAGCACTGCATATGTTGCACAAACGGCATGGATACAGAATGGGACAATCCAAGAAAACATTCTGTTCGGTTTGCCAATGGATAAACAGAAATACAAGGAAGTAATCAAGACTTGTTGCTTGGAGAAAGACTTGGAAATGATGGAATTCGGAGATCAGACTGAAATCGGAGAGCGTGGGATTAACCTGAGTGGTGGTCAGAAACAGAGGATTCAACTTGCCCGAGCCGTTTATCAAGATTGTGACATCTATCTTCTTGATGATGTCTTTAGTGCCGTAGATGCTCACACTGGTTCCTCAATATTCAAGGTGATTGATTGATGAATCATACATAGTAGAATATGAAAATTGATGCATATTTGTGTTTGTTGCTATACAAATTCTCAGATTTATTTTTTGTTTTTGATGGTGCAGGAGTGTGTGAGGGGAGCCCTCAGAAACAAGACAATCTTGCTCGTTACCCACCAAGTTGATTTCCTCCATAACGTTGATCAAATATTAGTAAGTAACTGTACACCACAAGTCTGTTTTAATGTTTAGAGACACGTATTGATTATTGAATTTAACTATCAGGTGATGCGAGATGGCATGATTGTTCAATCAGGAAAGTACGACGATCTACTAGAATTTGGCCTGGATTTTAAGGCTCTAGTATCCGCCCACGACACCTCTATGCAACTGGTAGAAATGGAAGCTACAACATCTGAAAGTCCTTCCCCAAGACCTCTTCAAAAGTCTCCTAGCCATAACCCAAGGGAAGAAGATGACAAGGCTTTAGAAAGATCCAAGTCCAGTTCTGTCATAGGCACATCGAAATTGATCGAAGAAGAGGAGAGGGAAACAGGAAGGATCAGCTTAAGTGTCTATAAAGTGTACCTGACTGAGGCTTTTGGATGGTGGGGTGTGATTGCTGTTTTGTTTTTCTCATTCTTATGGCAAGGCGCACAGATGGCAAGTGACTACTGGTTGGCCTATGAAACTTCTGAGGACCGAGCAGCCTCTTTCAACCCCTCATTGTTTATACAAGTTTATACAGCGATAGCCGGTCTGTCCTTTCTTTTGGTATTTGGTAGAGTCATTTCTTCAACAATCCTCGGGCTGAAAACCTCCCAGAGTTTCTTTAAACAGATACTTCACAGCATCCTTCATGCTCCAATGTCGTTTTTCGACACTACACCTTCAGGAAGGATTCTTAGTAGGGTAAAGTTTCTTAATGCATACATTCCCATTTCTGTTGGACTGACTGCTAACATGTGCACAGACCATTCTTATGCAGCAGCTTATCTGTTCAATCTTTTCAGGCATCAAGTGATCAAACAAATATCGATGTGTTCCTTCCGTTTATGATGAGCCTGACTCTTGCTATGTACATAACAGTGATTAGCATTATCATCATCACGTGTCAGTATGCTTGGCCAACCGTGTTCCTACTGGTTCCATTGGGTTGGCTCAATTTCTCGTATCGGGTATGTTTCATCTGCATGTGTTAATTAACAAGTTAATTAGCATACGTACAATAAGGTAATTAAATTAATGTTTTGATTGTTTCAGGCGTACTATCTTGCAACATCTCGTGAAATAACGCGACTTGACTCGATCACAAAGGCACCCGTTATTCACCATTTCTCGGAGAGCATCTCTGGGGTTATGACAATTCGGTGTTTCAGAAAGCAGGACAGGTTTGTTCAAGAAAATGTTGATCGTGTGAATGGAAACCTGAGAATGGATTTCCACAACAATGGATCCAATGGGTGGTTAGGTTTCCGTTTGGAGTTCATTGGAAGCTTATTTTTATGTGTTTCCACTGTGTTTATGATCATCTTGCCTAGCAGTATCGTTAAACCAGGTATATTCACAAGTCACAACCAAACCCCATAATTCCTTCCTAGCTATAGCTAGTGTTGTTATTTATTTAAATATAAGTGATCATGATCACAGAAAATGTCGGATTATCACTATCATACGGATTGTCACTCAATGGAGTGCTGTTTTGGGCTTTATACATGAGCTGCTTTGTGGAAAACCGTATGGTTTCTGTTGAGAGGATTAAACAGTTCACCAACATACCCTCAGAAGCTGAATGGGTGAAGAAAGACAACGCCCCTCCTTCAAATTGGCCTTCACATGGCAATGTGGAGCTCAAAGATTTGCAGGTAACTTACTTAAAGCTTATGGCCATTTTTAAGAGTAAATATGATATGATTTGAAGTAGATGTATGTTTGGTTGTGAGCACAGGTTAGATATCGTCCAAACACGCCCTTGGTGATCAAAGGGATTACTCTGAACATTAGAGGAGGTGAAAAGATTGGTGTGGTTGGTAGAACCGGAGGTGGGAAATCAACTCTAATCCAGGTTCTGTTTAGGTTGGTGGAGCCTTCTGGTGGAAGCATAATCATTGATGGCATCAACATCTCCACCCTCGGACTCCATGATCTCAGGTCTCGATTTGGGATCATTCCTCAGGAACCAATCCTTTTTGAAGGCACTGTGAGAAGCAATATCGACCCTATTGGCCAACATTCTGATGAAGAGATTTGGAGGGTACGTATGTAATTTTTATTTTTCTATGGACCATGCATGCATGACAACTTTTATATATCCATCTTAATCTTTTTATTATTTTTTTTTTTTTGCAGAGTCTTGAACGATGCCAACTTAGTGATGTTGTAGCTTCAAAACCTGGTAAACTAGATTCTGCAGGTATTAGAAAAACCGATCCAAAGACTTGATTTCTTGGTTAATACACAAGCAAAAGGTCGATTAAATATATATAGATATATGTATTGGTTTTGTTTGTAGTTGTGGATAATGGGGATAACTGGAGCGTGGGACAAAGGCAGCTTCTTTGTTTGGGGCGGGTGATGCTGAAGCACAGCAGGTTGTTGTTCATGGATGAAGCAACGGCTTCTGTGGATTCACAAACAGACGCTGTCATTCAGAAAATCATACGAGAAGACTTTGCCGACTGTACCATCATTAGTATTGCTCACAGAATTCCAACCGTCATGGACTGTGACCGTGTTCTTGTCATCGATGCAGGTAACCCTAGCTTGTTTTTCTCTGTTAATTAATTAATTAATAATAATAATAATAATAATAATAATAATAATAATAATAATACTTGTTGATGGAGTTTGTGTGCTAAACAAAACATGATCATGTGTTTGCTGCTGGAAACAGGTTATGCTAAAGAATTTGACAAACCTTCACGTTTGATCGAGAGGCCTTCACTCTTTGGGGCATTGGTTCAGGAGTATGCTAACCGCTCCTCTGGTCTATGAACACTTGAATGCTTCTGGCTGGCTTGCAGTTTTGGTGATGACACTGGGTTTATGTCCTTAATTTTTAGAGAATATTAAGGTCGTCGTATAATATAAATATAAATGGTTTACTATGTGTTTCTATTATTTAGTGTAATTTAGATGCATCTAAAAAATGCAATTTGACTGCCCGGTGGCCGGTTGTCGGTTAATGGCAAGGTCGCAAAATGCTGGTTAAGGGGGTGTTTGGATAAATAGTTTTTAGCTTATTAGCTTATTGCTTATTTGCTTATTGCGGTGGCAATAAACATTTTTTTTTAAATGTGTTTGGATTAGCTTATTGCGGTGGGAATAAGCAATAAGCAATAAGCATTTAAGTGTTTGGCAAAATAAAACAGCTTATATGAGTAAATGACCAATAAGCAATAAACAATAAGCATTCCCCACCTTGCTTATTAAAATCAACTTATTTAGCTTATTCCTACCGCAATAAGCTGATTTTTAAATACTTCTATCCAAACACTTAAATTTGTTTATTGCTGTGGAATTAAGCAGTAAGCAATAAGCAGTCTAATTTTTCCCTATCCAAACACCCCCTAAATAATTTCTGATTAAAATTTTAGAGTAAATTACATAAAAGGTTCCATTGTATTGTGAAATAGACAACTTTGGTCCAACTTCTTTTTGTTACATCGGTGGTCCCTATGTTAAGTTTATTGTAGCGTCCATCGACATTGTTTATCTTCTGATGTTTAAATGTTTAACCCCTTCACGTGCCTACCATTTTTTTTCTTTATCTCCCATCTCTTTGTTAATCTTGAAAACCCCTCTATCTACCGTCCTCTTCGTTAAGACCTACAAATACTGTCTCCTTTCTTTTCTTTTCCTTAAAATCGAATCCAACAATGGTTGTTTGTGTGTGGACGAAGAGCCATCATTGTGACTTCTTATACAAACAACAACCTATGTCTAAGGATATGCTTGTGTTCAAAACAAGGATCAAAGTTCTCATTCATTGGTAGAGTAGACCCAACAATGTGCATAACGGATATCATCTCATACTTGTTGTCGTGTAATTGAAGAGTCGCTAAAAGAAGTTTTGAAGCAAGGAAGTACGGTACAAGATTATGTTCATAGCTAGTTTGTTTTTTTTTTTTTTTCTGAATTATATACTAGGTGTGAAACCTGTGCGCTACATGGGTTGATTAAAAATATTTATATATAAAGATATAAACGTTAAGTATTTTTTTAAAGAAAACATTGAATACCAAAGTGTAAACATTAAGTATTTTTTAAAATAAAATTTCAAAATATATACAAACAAAATGATATATATATATATATATATATTATATATATATATATATATATATATATATATATATATATATATATATATATATTGTTTTTGACCTTGTTTTTGTGTGGTCTTCTTTTGGACTTCTTTCTACCTATTGTAGGGTATGAAATGTTAGTTATCTACTATTTTGTAACAGGATTGATCTTTTAAAGGTTATGTATGCAAGTTGTAATGTAATAGTGAAATGAAAATTGTCTTGGTTAATGTTACCCTGTTGGCCTGTTTTACTAATTTTTGTTGTTGCATTGAAGTTCATGTCATCCTTACAAAAGACTAGTACTTTTCCACATTTACCATATCATTATCATTTCAATAACAAAACATATGTAATTTTCCACAATGGCCATAACATAAGCTTTTCAAGACCAAAATAATAATAATAATAATAATAATAATAATAATAATAATAATAAAAAAATAAAAAAAACAATAACATGATCATGAAGTTAAACCTACCATAACATGTTCAAAAAGTAATAGACATTGTTTACCAAATACCAAACCAAATTATTGTTTCAAAACAACGACAACTGAAGTACCAAACTAAAAGCATAAACTACCAAATCACTCATTATTGTTTTCCAACTACCAAACCAGCACTGGTATTTACCAAGTATGAGATCAATCACATAAACTAAAAAAACAAACCAAATCACTTAAACCACATGTGCCTTCTTCCCAACTTTTACTTTCTTCTTTGAACTCTCACCTAGTCCGCAATGTCCCTTATAACTCCTAGAGTTGTTAACTCGATTGTGACCAAAGTTGTGAAAATCGTCCGGGGGGTCGACTGACGTTAAGTGATTAATTGGACTAGGCGAGGATTAACCGGGGACCCTAAACTATTAATTAAATAATTTAAAAAATTAATATATCCTAAAAAAATAAGTATTTGAAAATTTAAAATTTTGAAATTTTTAGTATAATATTTTAAAATTTGAAAACTTAAAATTTAAAATTTTGGTGTAATATTTGAAAATTAAAAAAATTTGATTTTTTTTTAAATATTTTCCGTCTATAACCTCCAGGGACCGTCAAGCCCGAGTTTGATAGATTTTGACCAATTTCCACTAAGTACCCTAATCGTAATCGGTTCTAGGCCGACAAACTATTAATCCGCCGCCAAGGCCGATTTCTGCAACAATGATTGTGACACTTGCTATAAGTCACTATCATAAATCATAATTCATATACTTTTTTGACAACTTTTGGCTTTCGATGCCCACTTCAATGTAAATGTGTATCTCTTTGTTCTTAATAACATACCTTGAAATAACTACCATATCTTGGTATTACCAAGACATTAGAGCCCATAATCTAAATGAGCTTTGGGTATAAAAGATAATAGAAGATGGTTTCTCCATTGAGGAACACATACCCTAACTCTTTAAGATTTGTATTCAACTCGTGAAGGGAAAACCCGATAATGTCCACACAAGTGACGTACCTGACTTTACCTTTGTATATATCTACATTGCGGAGGATGAGTGTACTTCTTGTTGGTGATTTTAGTGTCACTAGACATTTTGTGTAATTGGAACTAAATATATGAGATAAATGGCTTATGATTTGTACTTTACATTATATGTTTAGTGTATGTGGAGTGCACATATATAGAAGATCGAATTATAAGCTGGTACGACAAACTGGTGGGGTCAAGGGGACCACAACCCCTTGCAGGGTCCTAGGGGCAGCGCCCCATAGTGGAAAATTCGAATTCTAGTGAGTGATTATGGTAAAACTGACAAATCTTGATAGTTTTAGAAACCATTGATTATGTCATTAATTTCATGATTTACTTAACTAATTTAGAAGACGGTGACCCTAATTTTCAAGTATAAATACAACTCCTCTATTGAGCCGTTTGACACCCTTCTTCAGCTCTTCTTCTACTCTAACGAACTCAAAACTCTCTAGAAATTTGGCATATATTTATGTGCCGAGATTCGTAAGTATCCCTTTGGATTATCTTAGATTGAATTTCTTGTAATCTGGGTATATGGTCAGGGGCGGAGCTTCAACATTTGATTTTGGGGGGGGGGGGGGGGGGGGGGAGGGAATATAATATGTATAAAAATCAGTGAACAGGGGGGGCATAGCCAAAATTTTATATTTTTGGGCCTAATATGTATAAAATTAAAATAGATGGACCATTTCTAACAAAAAAATCAGGGGGGCACAACCCCCCTTGCCCCTATAAAGCTCTGCCCTTGTATATGGTTGAAATATCAGCTCGGAAAGCGAACCTACACGATCCATTAGGAATCTGGTTCTCCATCGTGACCCTTCTAAGCCCTAACACTTCCTACCATGGTGAATCCATATTATGAAAATGTTATCAATACAGTTGCAAGTCGGGAAGAAACAAAAGAAAATCATCATCAACCTTCAGAAACCAAGAAACCAATAGTAGAGTAAAGAAAAATAAAATAATTACAAACTCATTGTATACTACATTAACATCTACTTGGGAAAAGGTTCCCCGAATACTTCACATTGTTAAAAGCAAAAGGAAGGAATGTAGAAAAATGGCTTTCTTTTTTGTTTCTCAAAAACTTTTTGTACGTGGAAGGACGAAGAAGACAATGGGTTTCTTGGATGAATAATGATACTATAAGGTATAATTACCATCACTAATAGTGTCAACACATTAACCAATACTAGAGATAAAAAAACATGGGCCAATTTACCCTCACATGGTATAAATCACAAAGCAAATGACATTAGCCAAAAGGATGGACATTGTAGCAAACATAAATCACAAGGATCAACGATGTAAAAATTTTTGGACCAAAATGACCTATTTCACCTTATTATATGGACCGTTTACATAATTTACTCAGAATTTTATAAACCAAACCGACTAAATTAATAGACTCGACCGGACTAGCCAGATCAATTGAACCGGTTTGCTCCCACATGTTTCAGGGGTGAGCATGGTTCACGAACCTTACTAGACCAAAACTGGTTGGGATCGAAACTGAAATTGAGATGTTGTGCAAATCGAAAATCGAACAGAATATATGTATAGGTACTGGTTCATTTTTTGGTGCCAAACAGAACTAAGACCAAATTTATAGCTTATGAACATCAAGGTTTCCTTATGTTATAAGTTATATTTTGCCAAAGTTCTGCTATTACATCTATAACTATTTATTAAAGGACGCAAATGGAAGCCGGTGACACCTTTAATTTTACTATATCATACAACTATCTCCTTCCCTTAACCATCGTGTTTATATTAACATCGACACACTAGCCTATTTCTTTCAAATATAAGATGTAATTATGTATTCTATTAGTTGTGAGTAGCTCTCAAAAAATAAGGATTCTTAGCCTTTCTTTATTAAATCAACTAGGTGTATAACCACACGTTGTATGAGATTATTATAATGTGATAAGATAAACATTTTTTTTATCTCAAAAGTGTTTTACCCTTGTATTCGAATTGCATATAAATAAGATTAAATATATTTTCAACTTTGCATTACTTTGATTTATTGTTATAGTTAACCTGAATATAACTTATATGGCCATTTTTTTATTTCGATCAATCTTTATATTTTAAATATCAAATATTAGTTTAAAAATAAAGTAATATATATATATATATATATATATATATATATATATATATATATATATATATACTGTAACATCCATAAAAATCATGTCAAATTTAAAATTTAAAATTATCCCAAAACCATTGATTATTACAAAAGTTGTTTTCAAATAGTTTAATGTCAAATATCCCAGAATCAAATCATATACAACAGGAGGTGTACGATCATGCCTTCGCCTTCCCACGATCATCAGAATTACCTGAAACAAAATCAACAACTGTAAGCCCGAAGCTTAGAGAGTTCCCCCAAAATACCCATACGCACATCAACATACATATAACACAACCAACATACTATGGGTCCAATCAACCATCGGGTTGGAATACCCCAGGCCCTCAACTATCGGGTTGGAATGTCACTCATACTATACGTCCAGTCATCATCGGGATGGAATATCCCAGGCCCACAACCATCGGGTTGGAATGCCCTCATACTACAAGTCCAATCATCCTCGGGATGGAATACTCACTGCCCACAATGTCACACCCCCAAACCAGAACGGCGGAAACGTTCGGGGGCGGAGGACGTCATGTACAGTATCATAACAATACATAATAGTAAAACAAGCAACAACATCATCCATTGCATTAATAGTATAATTTAATACAAATGTGTTCTGAATAGTTTAAAAGACACCAAAAGTAAGAATCAAAATAAGAGATGAGTCTTGAACGTGCTCCATCTTCTCAAAACCTGGTCATCGGTACCTGTCTACTGGTGACCCGAGAATACAAGTTATTTTGAAAGCGTAGATCAGCATTAAAGCTGGTGAGTTCATAAGTATTTTAGTGTCATTGTTTGTATAAGTTTGAAGAAAGTGTTTGTAAATGTTTGATGTAAAAGTGTGTAAGTGTTTGATGTAAATGTTTGTAAACTTCCTAGAAAATCCTATATTTTCTACTAAAGTAGTCTTCTACCAAGACCCAACTGTTCTTTATGTTTGTTCTTTTGTAAAAGTGAGTGTTTTCCCAAAGTTTTGACTATCATTACCAAAATATAGTTTTCATTACCGTTTATGTGAGAAGATCACAATGTGAATGAAATGGGAAAAATGAAGATGTACTGTAGTTTTATCTAAGGCCCCGTTTGAAACGCATCTTTCCAGGTCCAAACAGATCTTTCTGGCTGAATGGACCGGAAAGACTGTTTGATTTG